TGTTTGGGTTGTATGCTCCATCAATAACTAGCTTAATTGGTGCCTTTTATTATTTATTTAGGGGCCAATATGGATAATACTTGGATGTTGTTACCAAGAATGACTATTGAGTATCAAAGATCATTGGAAAAATTTCTTGGTCTTATGTTTTCTAACGAGTGTTCAAGTGGGCAGATGTTATGTCCATGCATTAAATGCGGTAATGAGGCATGGGTTACTCAGGAGGAGGCTAGAATGCATCTCATATGTGATGGATTTTTAAAAKGTTATAGAATTACACCTTCTATTTCYCAACCCTTTGGTCCTATATTGGATACACTCGATGACATGCAAGGATTGGTGCATGATGCTTTTGGTATCTTAGATGAAAACATACTTGAWGATGAAATAGACGCAGAAGAGGAAGAACCAGATGAGYCGAATCCAGAAGCAAAAAAGTTTTATAAACTATTAGAAGATGYAGAGAAAGAACTATATCCCGGATGTGAAAAATTCTCCGTACTTTCATTTATCGTTAGACTATTTCATAGCAAGTGTATAGGGAAATGCAATGATCAAGGTTTCACCATGATGCTTGATACATTGAGGGAGGCATTCCCAAATGCTTCTATTCCCAAGTCATTGTATRAAATGAAGAAGATTATAAAGGATTTGGGTCTTAGTTATGAGAAAATTGATGCATGCCCAAATGACTGTATCTTGTACYGCAATGAAAATAGTAAGAAGATTGAATGTGCTATTTGTCACACATCAAGGTATCAACAAAGCGAAAATGAATCCCAAGATAAGTCAACTACATCCCATAAGCATAAGAAGATTGCAGCAAAAGTTTTGTATTTTCCACTCAAACCAAGGTTGCAAAGGCTATATATGTCTTCCAAAACTGCTGTCTCCATGAGATGGCATGAGGAGAGTCGTACTAGAGATGGTTGTTTGAGACATCCTGCAGATTCCCCAGCTTGGAAAACATTTGATTTCCAATATGCTGATTTTGCCAAGGAGCCTCGAAATGTTAGACTTGGTTTAGCAACTGATAGGTTCAATCCTTTTAGGACTATGAGTGTTTCTCATAGTACATGGCCTGTGGTTTTAATGCCATATAACTTGCCACCATGGATGTGCATGAAACAACCTTA